ACAGAGGGCTAGTCTGAAGTTTTACAGATAGAGGTCTTTAATAATGAGAGCATGCACAGAAGAGACCCACCAGCTCCTGTTTGCACAGAGTGAGCCTCTTTTTGTCCAGTAAGGTCAAGTTGCTTCCCTTCACCTTCTTTTCAGCAAAAGCAATAAACTCGCTGCAGTAAACATACCATTACATCCAGCAGAAACATAATTAGGACACAGTTTTAGAATTTCATTAAAGAGAGCACATTAAAGGGATAGGTCACCCACAAATTAAAATTCTATCATGTTCTCATGTTTTTACATAACTGTATCTTTCTTCCGTGGAACACAAAAGAAGAAAGTCCCAATTGTTTTTGTCCATGCAATGAAAGTCAGTGGGGTCCAAAACAACATTGGATCCTAAAGACTTTTATTGTATGGCCTAAAATAAATAAATAAATAAATAAATGGACCATGGATAAAAACAATTGAAACAACATAAGGGTGAGTAAATTATGACAGAATTTTCATTTTTGGGTGAACAGACATTTTATACAGTTCATGAATAATAAATTTTCTTACATCTTGTGAAATAAAACACCTGGTTTTGCTATAAAAACACTGTAACTTTCAGAATGCAGAACCGTGACACAAAAGTGAAAACTAACCCAACAGTGACACCTATTGGGTGTTCAGAAAATTGTTTCACCCTGTCACATTGTAAGGAATTTGAACATGAAACTTTACTAACATTTAAAAAAAATGGATGTTATGACCCTATTAATGGTAAAGAGCTTTTGTTCTGGTATCACTGAATATCTCCATTAACTCCCTATGGTCATTAGACTTACCTGGCATCTCTTCTAAATTCCCGAAGAACATGATGCATGAGAGTCCCGGCTTCTGGAGACAACATTTTATCCAATTCTGCCACCTTAGTGACTCCCTCCTCCTGATAAACATTAAATGAAAAGAATCACATGAACTACTAGCTGATTACATGGCACTGTAATAAAACACTACGGGGTTGAGGGTTCACATCACATACAAACATCAGGGCAATTGTGTCCAGCATGTTGGCGTGATGGAGTCGGTACGCTCGATCCTCCCAGCTGCTATAAATATACACACAGGGCTTCTGCGTTCCAATGGGCAAGTGCATGTAATGCCTGCACAAACAAGATTATGGGTCCAGTCATGACTAAGGTATTTTCCATTATTTAATGAAGGTATAAACTTGTTATAAACTTGTGTTGTAAGCACCTCTGTGCATCTCCAAAAATAGGTCTTTCTGGTGTAGTAGTAGATTTGCACGGCATTGTTGCTGCAGTGTCCAATAGAGGAGTGGTCACTGACACATCTTCAAGCTTTTTCTTTGAAGGAGGTGGTGCAGTACCATCAATTAAGTTCCCAAAGTTACCTGAATAAACAAGCACACATTTAAAGGAGTCATATTATTTGTATAATCATAATATTGTTAGTATATTAATTTCATAATATTGACATTATCCGTTCAAAGACATTTAGTATGTTACAGTAAAACGTTTAAGTAATTTTAACTACAAAAATTATCTGTGCCCCCCAAATTGTGTTCAACCTCGTCACCACGGTATTTTTCTATTACAAAGAACTGAACATTTCTAACAGTTGTGACACTCAAAAAGAGCTTGACAAATTGAGTGTTGAATGTATTCATTTAGCTCAACTGTTCAGCCCTGTTACCAAATATATTTTATGGAAAAAAATGGCCATGAACAATTAAAAAATATATATTTTCTTTTATTTATGAGAGATTAAACCAATACTTGGTCTCAAACTAAAGTCTCTACTGAGTGACAGCTTAGTTGGATAAATATACCTCTCTTTTATTGATCCATTCTATGTTTTTTTAAATTTAGTTAAAAAACATCTAGAATTAATGCTGTACATTTAGACATGTACAACACTTGGAAACAGGGTTGAAAAAATGACAAACTTCACAAAAATATGCTGAAAATAAAAATGTAATATTTAGTTTATCCTCATAAAGGCTGACTATGAACATTAATCATTAAATCATTAACTCCACCATGACCAGAAAAAAAATTTAAACTTATGCGTTTCAGACCCTATTTTGATCCTATTTGTGGTCAGTGCCATGTTGCTGAATGTAAAAACTGTAATATTTACCAATGGTGAACTCAAGGCTGACAGGTCTATCACCGATTCTTCTGTCAATCATGGAGGCCTCAAACACACAGCCAAAGAGCAGGAAAGTTTCCATGTCTTCATCATTTATCTAAATTAAAGTTAAACAATGACTTGGGTGGCTTTACAATATAATGGAAATGTTAGTGTAATGGAAAGAAAAAGGGCAAAAAAAGTGCAAAAAGATGGACAGATTAAAGAGTAGAGTAAAAAGAAGAAGGACTGCTGCAAAACCTTCACCTTCTGTGGGGACTCCACTGGCATCACCTCAGGCCCTACAGTCTTGGACTTCTCTTCCTCTCCTCCGGCTCCAGTCCCAGTTTTGGGATCTTTCGCCCCTGCTTTTCCTCCCTTGGTATCTTTCAGACTGATTTTTGAGAGCAGGGATTTAGAGTCAGGAGCACCTCCAGACAGGATCTCCACACTCAGCTCTATGTAAACCCTGCCTCTGTAGGACACCCCCTCTCCAACACCCTCGTTCAGCTCCTGGCTGTCGTCCACCAATGTGGAATTACGAAGTGAACCATAGAGGTTGATCCATGCCGGTCCGAATGTGGGCAGGAAGCCTTGAGAAGAGCAATGAAATATTAAATTATAGTATGCTAAATAACTACCGCCGTTTGTTTGAAGATGGTACTTGGTTTGATATTTTTTGTATTTTGTTTTTCTAACAGAATCATTTTCAGACATTTCTATGGTGTCCAAATACTTTTTGTGGCCACTATAATTCAAAACATCTTTTTTTTTTTAACAATGTAATGAAATGGTGAACCATTGTCTCCATCATTGTCATTTGAGATGGTATGTAGATCAATGTAATGAGTCCCAATGGCCACATCATTCATGCTTCCCTCATCCAGAACCCGAATCTTCAGTCTTTGACACAGTGGAGGAAACATCTCTTTAAACACCACCTGCTCGTTCCACACTGGGTCTGCTGTGCTCTTCTGAGTAGATGTCCTGCCCTTTCAAGCAGAAAATAAAGAACGCAAGTATCTCATATACTGTATACATTGCTATACAACCACAGTCACTAACCAGTATACCAGAATACTGACCATAACACTAAAATAGCATGCTACAAACAAACAAACTGCCAAAAAGCACCGACCGTTCATGCAAGTCGCACAGTGGGGAACCGTCAGGGCCCTCTAGGCCCTCAGAGACGGCCTAACTTATTGCAAAAACAATATTTACAATTTTTAAATAAATGTTTTAAATAAAAAAAGTTATTACAAATTTTATTTAAGCAATTCATAACTAGACAAACATCATCTAAATAAAATAAATATAATTTATCTGAGAAAAACAACAACAACAACTTCTCCAAATCTGCCTATTCAGTGAATGGACTTATGAACACCGCCCATTTCAACCATATTTGAATGTTTCCGCCTAGCGTCTGCGGCTCTGTGATTGGAGGTCCAGCTGTGAAATTACAGAGGGCCAAGCAATAGTAAATCATTGGGAGAGTAATTTCGATAATTTGCTGTGAGCGCTGTCATGGTGTATTGTCTTAAACACATTACATTTGTTGGTTTTGTGTGGTAGGAGGGATTGAGTGTCTGTATATTTTGTGTGATGATGCATCTTCAAGTCTCGGTACTTGCTCTGCCGCAGCAGCAGCAGCATAGCAGATCTATTCTGCCAAGACCAAATACATTAACATTGTCATGTACATTACCATGCCAATCCCTCCGAGAGTTGTCATGACAGAACTAATACTAAAATAACATTCATTGAGGCTAAGTAATGACAGAATGTTTTCATTTTTGGTTAACTATCCCTTTAAGTGGGTTTGTTTTGTAATAAGCACTCAAATGTGAGCTTACAACTTGACCGAAGAATGACACCTCTACATAAGGATCTATGAGGGCTGTCGTGTCTCCAACAAAGGCTTTGGTCACGTTGGCCATAATACTGGAGTTTATTCTGGGAAGACCTTCTGCACGGTACACGATCACGTAAAACCGAGCCCATGGCCGTTCAGGGTTTAAGCCCTCGGGAAGCAGGAGGTGTCTGGAGGAGGACAAAGGTTTTCAATATCATTTTCATGAGACACAAAGGAGATGTAGTGGCAGTTTATCAGAAAGGAAAGTCACTGAATTCATCTTTATTGTCTGAATACTAAAGCAACAAAGCGAATACTAATTATAAATGGTTTCTTAGATATCTGCCACCATGGCTGTCCAGATTAACAATCTTAAAATAGTAGATGAGATTTGTATTTTTTATTGCATTCAATCTTTAATATGCCATAAAACAAACTGAGATCTTACTTTTCTATCTGCTCTTCGGCATCACTGAACTTCTGGGACGGTGCTGCAACATCTCCCTTTCCTGACACGCTGATATCACACTTCAGGTGACCTTTCACCCCTGTGCGGATGTCAGCGGGGTCTGTGAGCGTGGCCCACTTATTGATGAACTGATGGCCTGGCACAGCAAGACAAGATTTAGTATTGTTTTACAAGTAGAATAACCAATAATCCAAATCTCAGACCAGACCAGATTCTGAACTTTTATCTCTCTAGTTAAAGAAAAGATGTGACCAAATGCAAACCAAGTGTTTACCAGGCTGGGAGTAAACTGTCCCAACATCAATCTTGAAGGTTCCCACACAGTAGCTCTTCATGATCTTTGAGTGCATGACCTTTGAGAGAAGTGCACAAAAGTAAGCATTGCAGCTTACATCAAGAAAAGTATTTTGTTTAGCCTAAGTACTTACAGATAGTTTGATGACTTTGTCAAAAAAGATGTCTTGATTGCAAAAGAAGTCAAACACAAAATACTGTTGGGATGAGAAGAACACGGTTATTAAATTTTTGCCATTAATGCCATTATCAGAAAGTGTCCATCAAAGACAGCATGATCACCTCATTGTAAAAGGGAGCGTTGGTTCCTTCTTTCACAGACGTCTGCTTTTTCTCATCTCCAATTTCAATCACGACACTAGGGTCTATATTGTCCCCGACTAGTTGTCTAGCCTCTGTTATATTGATGGAGATCTTAGGAAGAACAGATTTTGACTCTCAATATTAAGAATATCAGCTTTATCATCTCTAAACAAGAAATAACTGCAACTTTTACTCAAAATGTATTGAATTCTACCTGGAAATGTTGTGGTTTGCTTTCACCTTCCAAGATCTTGACCACAGGTTTACACCTTTTAAGTCAGAAAAAGTAAAAACATGAACATGTTGTACATAATCTACAAGAAATAACACATTACACTGTGTAAAGTTTGGAGAGAAAAACAAAAAGTACCTCTTAGTATTAGCAGTCTGTCTGAAGGAAGCGGGTGCAGAGGTGGACGCTTCAGAGGGTCCAGGCTGGGGTACGTTTACCACGTCTGGATCGCCAGGATTAGTTTCAGGCTCAGCCTCTAAAGCGTAACGATTAAACCAGCTCAGCCAGAATTGGTTTACAAACATTTTAAACCTTTTTAAGGATCAGCTGCCATATGTCTGAATTTATGGTTTTGAATATCTCTGTCAACAAAACCATGCAGTTAATCCTCATGAAATACTCTACATCTTACGTAACATAGGCCTAGTGTTTGCATTCATGGTCTTACCTAGAGCATTTTTGTTTGCGATTACAACACCCTTGTGTCCTTTCCTGTGTTTCTTCTTCACTTTTATTCCAAACTTTTTGCTGCAGAAACACATTGGAATATCAGACCATTGTAACTCCTCTCAGTAAAGTTTTTTCCTGTTTTTGTCTCTTTCACATAATTTACGTGTAATGAGGAGCCCTAGTAGTTAAAAATTGGGACTAGTGAAGTTTACGTATGAAACCCCCAAAAGCCCAATGTTAGCAGTGTTAATATTGAGCAAGCCTGTTGGGCTTTTCTATTCACAGTTTTACAAGCTGTACACTCACTACTTTACATTGTAGCAAATTGTCATTTCTTCAGTGTTGTCTCATGAAAAGATATAATAAAATATTTACAAAAATGTGAGGGGTGTACTCACTTCTGTGAGATACTGTAAAAAAAACAAAAAAAACATGTTATTTTGGATAAAAGCATCTGCTAAATGACTATTTATTAGATATCAACCATTTATGCAATCTGTGCTATTCAGAGAACCAATAAACAAGTAAAACAGCTTTCTGAAGAAAAACTGTTCCCAGGAGAGCTTACCCATGTGGCGCAGTGCTGTCTTTATCTCGGTCCATTCTTGCAGGAGAAATTCATTCAAGAGAAAATATCCTGTGACTGTAACTCACTCCATCAAGCGAGACAGTGAGTGTACTTCCTCCCCAAACGTCTGTTTAACTTTCTGTTGCCGAACGATTGCATTACAAACAAGGGTGGAAGACTGTGGCATGTGTGTTTTTAGTTAACTCAATAGAGGCCATAAACAACATTTAAAATTGTAAAATTAAATGATTATCAATAACACCAAACACTCCACTGCCAAAAATACAGATAGGAATCTTGTGTTGTATTGTGTAATATTGCAACTTTATAGTCCTGCAGTAAATAATAAATTTGAAGTTGGATAGAATTGTGCATGGAGTCTGTCGTTTTTAAGTGTGCACTCAAACATTCCTCCTTATCAGAATGAAAGTATGACTGAGGCCATAAAACGACATTTGACACATGGCATTCGAGCTTCTCCATCTGGACTTTGGTGGTACCACTTTACAATAAGCTTCTACACATTAAGTAATGTGTATCATGAGCTAAACTTAATTTTGCAGCATTTATTAATCTCGGTTAATGTATAAACATACTATTGTGCATATATTATAGTCGCTTAATGTAAAACGTATTAGTACAAATAGAAATTAACAAAGATTAATGCTGTGAAAGTGTTTTATTAGTAGGGCTGCACAATTAATTGAATTTCTAATCACGATTACAATTATGGATGCCACAATTACATAATCATTCAAAGCGGCAATTAATCGTTCAAAGTCCACTTGTGTTGTTCTGTGTGCTTAAGATGCTTTTTTTTCTTCTTTTCTACATGTTATCTTAAGGGTTTTTCCATTGTTTTAGTTTTAGTATAACATTATAATACCATTCATATTTTTACTTTTTTTTATAATTTAAAGAAGAAACCAATCCGATGTATATTTGACACTTGAGGCTTAATACTATAGAAAAGCACTAAAGGTTTTTCAGTTGGGAAGGTTACTTTGGAAATGTAATAGGTTCCAGATTACAAGTTACCCTATTAATGCAATGTAACTGATTACATTTGATTACTTTTGTAAATTTCTAATGTTTTCAACTGTTAATCATTTTCAAACATTTAAAGCAGGCAGGGTTAACTTTACAGTAGTACTCAACACTGATTACTGTCAGACTTTCAAAAGCCTTAATCACAAAATCAGACTTTAGCACCTCTTTTTACTTATAGGTTAAATACAGATTTAAAATCATAACAAGAAATAGTTTAAAATCAAATTTGAAATCAAATCTTTGCATAGCTCTGACAGGAAACACTTGCATCTAACAATACCTTGGAAAAAACGGTCAATCTTAAAAAAAATAAAGCATATACATAAACCCAAATAGGAAATCAAATAAGCACGTGTCCTATTCTGTGTCCTAAACTCCTGAAACATTGGTGTCTCATATTTTAGAGCAATGCAATTTGGGAAAGAAATCAATCAAATCTGTATGTTTGTGAAAATATTCAGATGTAATCCCCTTTGTAATCGTTAACATTTTCAGAAGTAACTAATTTAATTACACATTTTTTCATTTCATTTTTTGATTTGTTACATTTGTTTTGTAATTAAATTACGTAACTCTGTTACATGTAACCAGTTACGCCCCAACACTGCCTATGATTGCTGTTAGTTCATGTTAACTTTTGCCTTGGGTAATGTTAACTTGTGCAGGCTTATCATAAAGTGTTTAGATTAATTTTATTTGAACAGCATTAACTTGTTCACAGTGTCTTAAGACATTAGTCATTGACATACAGTAGTTTTGTGGATTAAGTGCTTCAAAACATTAGTCAGTGTTTGAGATATTTAATGTCAAAGGAGCTACATACTGAAGTGTTCAAACTGGTCTGAAGCGCAAATGATGCAAATTAGGTTGTTAAACTCCTACTTAGAAAGTTATAAGTACTTAGCATGACACTGTTTGCTAACAGTGAAAAGCAGGATGTACAAGGATACACCTCTGGTAAATATATGCACCAACAACTCAAACATTGAACTCTGTATTTGCCATCGCCAGGCTGAATTATTTATTTTGTTGTAGTGAAACATTGTAAAAATTTAATTTTACAAATAATATTTAAAAAATGCTTATTATATTTTTAGAAGACTTTGATGTAAATCAGAACCATAGTTCGATGCTTATAATATTGTAAGTTTTATTCTGTAAAGCAGTTTTCACCCAGACTTTTTCTTTACCAAAATAATAACACAGTACAATCATTGAATTAAACATGTTGTATGTGGTAGGAAAACAAGAACATTTGTGCAATATAACATTGTAAATCTACTGTGAGTATGAAAAATCTGTAGGAACACTTCAGTGAATTATATGACTAAATAAATAACATGATTATCGGGGTCAAGAAGTTTTATAACAAAAATGTTATTAAAAAAGGAGTTTTTTGCCTGGAGGGTTAGCATTATTACATACTATGTGACAAAATATCTGTAGTTTGATCTGACAAAGAACTATCACAATTCAAATGACTATGTGCTAATTCTTTAATAAATTATACAAATATACAAGTTAAATTGCAAAATAAGATTAGACATGTTTAAAGTGATACATAAAATCCCAAAGTGCCAGCAACATTAAAAATATTTACACGTTCTGTCTTCAAACGTTCCGTCATCTTCATGGTTGGCTCATGGTTTGCTTTAGGACAAAATTCTGGAAAACAAAATTATGTAAGAAAAAAAGCATCATTCCTTTAATCTTCTTTAACAAATGTTCCTGGCCTCGCAGTAACACTTGATCTGCACTTATGTCCATGTATATTTTTGGTCACAATTATAGAAACATTAGAGCAAACATTATAATGTACTTTCCGTTCGATGACACTACAGATAGACTCTCAGAAAAAAAAATTCCCAAGCTGTCACTAGGGCGGTACCCCTTCAAAAGGTACTAATATATACCATATAGGTACCAATATTAGTACCATTAATATGCACCCTTAAAGATACAAAAAAGGTTGTGAAAAAAGGTTGACCGCTTGTGTACCTTTTTTTTTCCTGAGCTGTTTGCAGAAATGGAGGGATGGTCTATCTGAGAGATAAGAAAGAGAAAAACAGCATCTCTGCTGACAGCAGTCTGCCTACCTGGTATGATGTGAAATGAGGATGATTGTGGAGAGAGAGCCCTCCACTGGTGTTAAGAGAAAAGTGCTTCAACACCTGCAGGAGTCAAGACCAGTGCCTGAAGCAAATCAGAGAGCGAGACAATTCCCATCACCACATCCTCTGTGTCCACCAGTACTAGACGGTGAACCTGACAGAAACAGCATAAGGACCTATGGTCAGAGTGGACGGTGTTTTTCAAATGATGCAAATGAAAACAAGCCATCAATTCTTGAAGGCTATAATATAGAAACTAACTATTTGTTCTACTACCTCAGCCTCAGCGATCCGATCAATGATGGTTTCGAGGGTCTCGTGAGGGTAACACTTCAGCACCCCCTCAATGCAGCACCAGCGGCTCTGAATGACCTCCTGCATCGTCATGTTCAGGTTGTTGTAGCTTTTCTGTGCAGCCAAATTCTGTTCATGTAAATGCAGATGATACCAACTTTAAGCTCTGCTTGGTACATATGAAATCATTTGCTGTAACATAATCATGCAAAAAAGAGGTGAGGATGTGAGTCTACATACAATGACATCAAATCTGGAGTAAAGTGCTACCACTTTTCCTAAAGAGAAAGAAAAATGTCAGAAACCACATAGAAGACCTTCAGAAGTTGAAGATATGTATTAAGAAAGCAGAAAAACAAAAGCAAACAGCTGTCCACAGTACCTTGCTCGTTGACGACGGGCAGGGCTGAGACCCGTCGCTCTACAAATATTGATAAAGCATCATAAACTGTTTCTGTCTCCCTGATAGTTGCAATGCTCTTGAATGTTCCTATTTTCACTTCTTCAATCCGCTTCTGTAAGAATCGTGGCTTTGGGATCATCGAGCCCTGAGATTCATAAAGCAAATTCTCATCATTCAGTACAGAGCTATGGGGACAGTCAACATAAGCATTTCATGGCAACAATCTCATGGCAAATCATACATGTTTTGTCTAATTAATTTCAAATCATACAATCTCATTTGTATGCTTTCATACAATCTGTTTATGCCCCATTGGTGTTTTGGTTTGAGATGGGGTTCAGGTTGACCCTCATGCTTCATGTTTTTTTCTAAAAATCATACTTTTCCATATGAATAACGTGGTACGAATGATGTGGCTCGCCACTTTGTGAAATAGCTACGTTTTTCATGAGATCGAGTTGAATGTGCACTTAGTTATGTTTTGCTAGCCAATATGACAGTTGTTTTAAAAGTATACTGACACCTATTGGTGAATATGCAGCATTACACAAATTGCAGACAGTCATTAACTTAAGCTAATAACGAAGTCATCTCATGTCATCTTAATACACTGCTCAAAAAATTAAAGGGACACTTTGAAAACACATCAGATCTCAATGGGGAAAAATATGCTGGATATCTATACTGATATGGACTGGGTAATGTGTTAGGAGTGAAAGGATGCCACATCGTTTGATGGAAATGAAAATGATCAACCTACAGAGGGCTGAATTCAAAGAAAAAAAGTGAAAAAATGATGCAGCAGGGTAGTCTATTTTGCTGAAATTTCATTGCAGCAACTCAAAATGGTTCTCCGTAGTTTGTATGGCCCCCACATGCTTGTATGCATGCCTGACAACGTTGGGGCATGCTCCTAATGAGATGACCGATGGTGTCCTGGGGTATGCCCTCCTAGATCTGAACCAGGGCATCACTGAGCTCCTGGACAGTCTGAGGTGCAACCTGGTGGCATCAGATGGACCGAAACATAAAGTCCCAGAGGTGTTCTATTGGATTTAGGTCAGGCAAGCGTGGGGGTCATTCAATGGCATCAATTCCTTCATCCTCCAGGAACTGCCTGCACTCTCGCCACATGAGGCCAGGCATTGTCGTGCACCAGGAGGAACTCAGGACCCTCTGCACCAGCGTAGGGTCTGACAACGGGTCCAAGG